CGGTTCCAGGCAAAAGCTGGAAATTATAGCTTAAATTTAATTTAAAAAATTGCTTAAATTTGGTCAAAATGGCCTTAAAAGGGTCTTAAAACTCTTAAATTTGGCTCCCTTAAACCTGCAGATACCCTGTGAGAGGCTGCGCTCCAAACTAAACCAACTCCGCCCAGAACGACTCCTTAAACGTAAAATGTAAATGGCAACTAGTCACTCTACGATTTATCAGATTAAAGTTTTTATTTGTTCCCGGCAGGAGCCTCTCCTCTGTCCCGACCAACTTGTTTGGCTCTTTTGCAGCCGGCGTCTCGATCTCGCAAGTTTTCTTTTTTCTGGGTAGAACGCAGGGAATCCCTCACGTGCTGAGGATGTAGCATGACCAAATATGGTTAATTGAGGGTGCTTTTGTATGTAAATGACGGTGAGCGGACACGAGCACCTGGGTACGCACAGGTGGGACTCATCGTCAGATGGAGTGCGGAGGAACGTGCGTACGAGAGGCCACCGCATGTTTCGTAAATCGGTGTTTTGGCCGTTCGTACGAACGTTCAACATTTTGTCCACAGGAAGGAATTTAGGAATTTTTCTACGAGCGTTTGGTGAGTGAGGCTGTGACTTCTGGATCATCACAGTTTGTGTCTCTGGTGCTCGTCTGTCCATCAGGACGGTTCTGAGGTCTTCGTCGAAGACTACAGTAACAACGGAACCTTTGTGGACGGAGTTCTGGTCGGTAAAAAGAGGAAACTACCTCTGGTCAACAACTCCGTTCTGTCTCTGGCGGAGCAACGGAACCGAGGTGACTCAGCTGTTCTCAGCCGTCTCACCTGTCCTCTGGCCCCGCCCCACTCACCTGGTGTCTCTCTGCAGTTTTTGTCTTCATTGACTTGATGTCAGACGACCAGTCCAGTCTACCCGTCGGTCTCCGGGAGAAATATGTGCTGACCCGGCGGATCGGAACGTGAGTATTATTCAATGATCCTTATTGGTTTGATCAGAACCTGACCGTGTCCGTCACAGCGGGACCCGCCTAGCCCCACCAGCCATCACACGCCGGTGACTCTCATCTAATTCTGTGTGAGGAGGAAGTAACGGGGTCGTTAGCGTAGCTGGGGAACGTTCCTGGAGCCTCTGAAGGTGACGCGGACAGGTGTGTGTTTCAGAGGTGTGTGTGGTGAGGTGCGACTGGCCTTTGAGAGATCCACCTGCAGGAAGGTCGCTGTGAAAATCATCAATAAGAAGAACTTCCAGTCTGAGGGGGTGAGTCATCTACTTCCTCCCCCACTCTCTCCCCCTGCCTTCCTGTTGCAAGCAGTGTTGGGAGTAACGGCGTTTAAATGTAACAGCATTCTTTTTTAGGTAATGGAATAATCTAATTAAGTACTTTTCCCACTGTTGGAACGCCGTTACGTTACTGGGGACGGAAGGTTGTGCGTTACTATGTGCTTGTCCAACGTTGAGCAACAGTGTGAGGCTTTCTGACCGCCACACTTCAGCTGCAGCCAGGGAGAGAGAGGTGTCGGTAACGCTTACAAACACGATGATGATTGGCCGGGTGGGCGGAGACCCTCAGTGTTCTCACGGTCTCAGCCTGCTGTAGACCCACCAGAGCAGCGATGGGAATAACGCCGTTTAAAATAACCGCGTAAATAAAAAAAATATTTTTTTCAGTAACGAGCGAACTAATTAATTACCGTCTTCTTTTATCAAAACGTAGTTTCTGTTACTATGTTCCAGTCTTAAGTCACTTATATTTCACTATTTATAGTAAATTAAGTAAGTTTATTTAAGAGGGGAACCCATTTTTCTAGCATTCTTTAATGAAAAAAGTAACTAAGTAGTTATTTTTCTTGGTAATTAGTTACTTTTATAATCTCGTAACTCAGTAACTGAGTTACTTTTTTGACAAAGTAATCAGTAACTATAATTACTTTTTAAAAGTAACGTTCCCAACACTGGTTACACGTGTCTTCAGGGCTACAAACATGGCGTCCGAGTGGTGAGACAGGTGAGAGGACAACAATAGCCACCATGCACCAAATTTCCCCAGTCCCATTCAAGTCCTGGTTGATCGGAACTCCCGAATCTCTGTTTACACGGACACAGGGTCCGAAATTAAATTTTTTACTCACCGGCCAAGTTGGCTGGTAGATGATGAAAATCTACCGGCCAGGCATATTTTTTACCGGCCAAACTTCTAAATGATTTAGATCTACCTAAAGCATGTTATTCTATATTATGTTGATTCCAAACAGAGTGACAAAATAATTAAAACATCAGTTAATAAGAAAAACAACTCTTTTGTCATTTTTACTATTTATTTATTTATTTTTTAGAGATGTTTTTATGAACTCTTTCATTGAAATCTAGTCAGACTCCTTGTTTTCTCTGTCCATGAAGTCTGGCCTCCTGCTTCTGACACCGTCTTTGTGCCAAAGCCTTACAGCCTCATTTGGGTCCTAGTCCCTGATCTCTGGAGAACACAGCTGCAGCAGGAGAATATCCGAAAGTGTCAGGGCTAGGGTTGTCACGGTAACCGGTGTAGCGGTAAACCCCGGTAAAAAAGTTGACAATAATAATAACCGTCTTGTTTTAAAAAAAAATATTATCTCGGTGGATTAGCGTGGCTGCGGTGTAGGCATGGTGACCCTTACCATCCACCGTATCATCTGCTGAAGTTGCCGGCGGCACATGCGCACTTTGTTGTTTACAACCAAAACTTTCTTGAAGCTAAAGCTGAAATAATGGCAGGAGGAGACACAGGTTTTCTACCGGCTTTGGTACAAAAGAGGGTCCACAAAGACCTCGGCATTCTGGATCTAACGGAGGCTTCCCCTGGGTACGTAGACCGACAGATGGCGTTTCATGTGTGTTATAAATCTCCGACTAAAGTTTAGAGCGAAACATTCACTCCCACTCAGAACTAACTGCTTCTCCGGATCCGCTGGTTCTGATAACAACATTCCACACATATACTTCATCATATCACGTCTCACTCCACCTTCATCCATCAGTACACAGAGTGTTAAAGTTAGTCTTGTTTAAATTGTGTAGAAATAAATTTCTTAACTATTTTAAACCTCTCTCTCTCTCTTTCCTCGGCGTTAATACGAAGTGTCGCTTAATCCCTGCAATAAAAAGTTCTGATCTTCTGGTTAAAATAGTCAAAGATCCATCAGATTGATATTTCATATTTCTATGGAATCTCACATTTTATGGTTCATAAGTAAGATGTAAACTACCCATCATTTACAGTGCAATAATCAGATTTTTATTTTACTTCCACCAAATGAAAGCTCTGGATTAGATATTACAGAAACGAGACGGCTTGCCTTCATATTTAAAAGCAAGCGCTCGTTAATTAGGCCGTCATTTATTTAAGTCGGGTAGTCCAAATGACAGCGGGGAGCTCGCTAGCTGTTGCACACACATGCGCAGTGGGCATTATTATCCGAGTGGCTGTGTACGTGCACGTCAATCGGAATGATGATCGGACAAATTTCGATCGAACCGAATTGGATCAGAACATTCCAATTGACATGTTTACATGTAGAGTTTTTTATCTGATTGGGCATTCAATCCAATTGATTTGGCGCATGTAAACGTGGCTAATCTGTTTATTTACCCAAATCCAGACGGCGACCCGAAACGCAGAGACGGAGATCAAGATCCTAAAGCTGGTTGACCACGTGAGTCACACCAACCATAAACATGTCTTCATGTTCTCCTCTGTGTTCTCATGGTGTTTGATTGTGTCCTCCCTCCAGCCTTGTCTCATAAAGACAGAGGACTTTTATCAGACGGAGGACAGTTACTACATCATACTGGAGCTGTGAGTGAAACCCCGACATTACCTATGCAACCTTAATTGACCCTGTGTGTGTCCTTGATTGACCCTGTATGTGTCCTTTATTGACCTTGTGTGTGTCCTTGATTGACCCTGTGTGTGTGACCTTGTTTGACCCTGTGTGTGTGACCTTGATTGACCCTGTGTTTGACCTTGATTGACCCTGTGTTTGACCTTGACTGACCCTTTATGTGACCTTGATTGGCCCTGTGTGTGTGTGTGTGTCCTTGATTGACCCTGTGTGTGTGACCTTGATTGACCCTTTGTGTGACCTTGACTGACTCTGTGTGTGACCTTGATTGACTCTGTGTGTGACCTTGTTTGACCCTGTGTGTGACCTTGATTGACTCTGTGTGTGACCTTGTTTGACCCTGTGTGTGTCCTTGTTTGACCTTGATTGACCCTGTGTGTGTGACCTTGATTGACCCTTTGTGTGACCTTGACTGACTCTGTGTGTGACCTTGATTGACTCTGTGTGTGACCTTGTTTGACCCTGTGTGTGACCTTGATTGACCCTTTGTGTGACCTTGATTGGCCCTGTGTGTGTGTGTGTGTCCTTGTTTGACCCTGTGTGTGTGTGTGACCTTGATTGACCCTTTGTGTGACCTTGATTGACTCTGTGTGTGACCTTGTTTGACCCTGTGTGTGTCCTTGTTTGACCCTGTGTGTGTCCTTGTTTGACCCTGTGTGTGACCTTGATTGGCCCTGTGTGTGTGTGACCTTGATTGGCCCTGTGTGTGTGTGTGACCTTGATTGGCCCTGTGTGTGTGTGACCTTGATTGACCCTGTGTGTGTGTGTGACCTTGATTGACTCTGTGTGTGACCTTGTTTGACCTTGTGTGTGTGACCTTGATTGACCCCGTGTGTGTGTGTGACCTTGATTGGCCCTGTGTGTGTGTGTGACCTTGATTGACCCTGTGTGTGTGTGACCTTGATTGACCCGGTGTGTGCCCTTGATTGACCCGGTGTGTGCCCTTGATTGACCCGGTGTCTGTGACCTTGTTTGACCCTGTGTGTGTCCTTGATTGCCCCGGTGTGTGACCTTGTTTGACCCTGTGTGTGTGACCTTGATTTACCCCGTATGTGACCCTGTGTGTGTGACCTTGATTGACCCTTTACATGACCTTGCTTGACCCTGTATGTGTGACCTTGATTGACCCTGTATGTGTCACCCTGATTGACCCTTTGTGTGACCTTGATTGACCCGGTGTGTGTCCTTGATTGCCCCAGTGTGTGACCTTGTTTGACCCTGTGTGTGTGACCTTGATTTACCCCGTATGTGACCCTGTGTGTGTGACCTTGTTTGACCCTGTGTGTGTCCTTGATTGACCCGGTGTGTGTGACCTTGATTGACCCCGTGTGTGACCTTGATTGACCCCATATGTGACCTTGATTGACCCTGTGTGTGTGTGAGACCTTGATTGACTCTGTGTATGTCCTTGTTTGACCCTGTACGTGGCCTTGATTGACCCTGTGTGTGACCTTGATTGACCCTGTACGTGACCTTGATTGACCCTGTATGTGTCACCCTGATTGACCCTGTATGTGTGTCCTTGTTTGATCCTGTCTGTGTGTCCTTGATTGACCCTGTGTGTGTGTGTGTGACCTTGATTTACCCTGTGTGTGTCCTTGTTAGGATGGAGGGGGGAGAGCTCTTTCACAGAGTAAAACTTCACCAAAAGCTGAAGGAAGACGTGGCTAAACTTTATTTCTATCAGATGCTTTGTGCTGTTCAGGTGAGACCTGCTGCCGTTGCAATGGCAACCTGTAGACAAGTATGGCCCTGTAGCTTACTGAGTGTGTTTTTGTTTTCTCAGTATCTCCACGATAACGGGATAATCCATCGAGACCTGAAGCCAGAGAACATTCTGCTAGCATCTAACGAGGACGTTTGTCTCATAAAGGTAAACATTCCTCTTTGTTGTCCTCCTATGATCCTGTCCAGGTGTGACAACACGTGTCTGTTAGGTGACAGACTTTAACCAGTCCAGGATCCTGGAGGAGGCGGCCCTCGTGCGGACTTTGTGTGGGACTCCATACTACGTGGCTCCGGAAGTCCTCACCCATGCCTCCACCACCGGCTACGGAATTGAGGTGGACGCCTGGAGCCTTGGAGTCTTGCTTTTTGTCTGGTAGGCTCCTCCTCTCTCAGCCACACCTGTCTCACCTGTGTCTCCTCTGTCTCTGACCAGTTTGTGTGTCTAACAGCCTGAGCGGCTACACTCCATTCCACGAGAACTTCAGCAAACTATCAGTCACAGAACAGATCATCAGAGGGGAGTTCACCATGGTCCCGTCCAAGTGGAAAAACATCTCTGACCAAGGTAAGAAATCCACAGCTGCACCTATTTTCTGTTTAGCTGAGGATTGATCAGGTTGAGCAACATTTGTTTCTTTGTTTCAGCTAAAGATGTGGTGAGAAAGCTGCTTGAGGTCGATCCTAGCAAGAGGATGACCATCCGTGAAGCGCTCCAGCACCCCTGGTTAAAGGTAGCTCCTGCAGCCTCACTACCACACCTGTATTAACGCACCTGTACTGGTTAAAGGTAGCTCCTGCAGCCTCACTACCACACCTGTATTAACGCACCAGTACTGGTTAAAGGTAGCTCCTGCAGCCTCACTACCACACCTGTGTTAATGCACCAGTACTGGTTAAAGGTAGCTCCTGCAGCCTCACTACCACACCTGTGCTAACACACCAGTACTGGTTAAAGGTAGCTCCTGCAGCCTCACTACCACACCTGTATTAACACACCTGTACTGGTTAAAGGTAGCTCCTGCAGCCTCACTACCACACCTGTATTAACACACCAGTACTGGTTAAAGGTAGCTCCTGCAGCCTCACTACCACACCTGTATTAACACACCTGTACTGGTTAAAGGTAGCTCCTGCAGCCTCACTACCACACCTGTATTAACACACCTGTACTGGTTAAAGGTAGCTCCTGCAGCCTCACTACCACACCTGTATTAACACACCTGTACTGGTTAAAGTAGCTCCTGCAGCCTCACTACCACACCTGTATTAACACACCTGTACTGGTTAAAGGTAGCTCCTGCAGCCTCACTACCACACCTGTATTAACACACTTGTACTGGTTAAAGGTAGCTCCTGCAGCCTCACTACCACACCTGTATTAACACACCTGTACTGGTTAAAGGTAGCTCCTGCAGCCTCACTACCACACCTGTATTAACACACCTGTACTGGTTAAAGGTAGCTCCTGCAGTCTCACTACCACACCTGTATTAACACCTGTACTGGTTAAAGGTAGCTCCTGCAGCCTCACTACCACACCTGTGTTAATGCACCAGTACTGGTTAAAGGTAGCTCCTGCAGCCTCACTACCACACCTGTGTTAACACACCAGTACTGGTTAAAGGTAGCTCCTGCAGCCTCACTACCACACCTGTATTAACACACCTGTACTGGTTAAAGGTAGCTCCTGCAGCCTCACTACCACACCTGTATTAACACACCAGTACTGGTTAAAGGTAGCTCCTGCAGCCTCACTACCACACCTGTATTAACACACCTGTACTGGTTAAAGGTAGCTCCTGCAGCCTCACTACCACACCTGTATTAACACACCTGTACTATGTGTTGGCACACCAATGCTATACTTGTTCCAACACCCGTGTGCTAGAACTATGCTAACGCACCTGTACTACCTCTGCCTGACATGCACTACTTCAGTCTCCAGTTTTTCCAGGTGCATCATGTGTATTGGGTTTGGGTATTAAAGGCTTTGTAGCAGAATTTCCAGGTGTGTCTGGGATAAAAAAACTTTAAACCTATTTAAAACATGAAAATGTATTCCACCCCTCCCATTGGTTGGCACTGATCCAAGCACTGCCCTCTACAGATCTTTTCCATGCTTGACCAATTAGAAGTGTTTGAGCTTCAGAGGCAGATCAGCTGTCTGTAGGTTTGTTGTGTCCGTTTCAGAACGTTTGATGTCACGGCGACTCGAGTTTGTAACACGCGTGTCAGTGGGTTGACCCTAACCCATACAGGTAATCGACTGTAACCTTTGAAGCCCAACACCATTGACTGACTGGTGGTTGCAGGATCAGCTGATGCTGGAGACTGCTCGTCGGCTCATGTACCCATCAGGAGACGCTCCTCCACCTGCTGCACAGGTAACCACACATACAAGCACATTCAGTATTCCTGCAGTGACTCCATGTCAACCTGACTCTGGCTCCTCCCACCAACAGGAAGTGGAGTCATCAGAAAAAATGATAAGAAAACGAGGAAGAGGGGATGGCGAAGAGCTGGCCCCGCCCCCAGCTAAGCGAAGCCAGGCTTCGCCTCCTGTCCCCGTCTAGAGGACTCAAAGCTGCTGTTTAGTTTTGTTTTTTTAATTTTATTTGATGAAAGTTTGTTGTCTGATTCAGTTTGACAGTGATGAATGCCAGAGTAGATCACGGTTCTGATGGAGCTCACATGGACCAGAAGAGCTCTGAACTCAGAGGAACCACTCAGAGACAGGAAATGAGAATTTGCAGATTTATTTCTATTTTTGTTACGACTTTTAAAAGTGCATTAAGTGCAATTAAAGGTGTTAAAGATTGCCGACTGGATTAGAACCCAGCTGATTCTTCAGGGTGGGAGGATGAATGATGTTTAACTATCATTTCTTTCTGACTGAGAGGCTCCGCCCCCTCTGACATCACATTTTGGCTTGGCGGCGGTCTCTTACGGCGTAGAGCACGGCATGTGCTTCATCAAATGACTTGCCAACAGCTGATTGGACGCGGCTCCTCCAGCGCTGCAGCTGTGGGTGGTCCTTCAGGATGTCCCGCCCGGCTCCTAGAGGCTGCAGACAAAACACTGAGCATGCTCAGAAACAACCCAGTCCCTGCCCTCTTGACCGATCTCACCTGCATGAGCTCACAGATGGCCAGCAGATCAGCCACAGTGATGTCATCGCCACAGAGGAATGGCTGCCGGCGAAGGAACATGGTCTCCAGTTTGTCCAGCGTGTTTTTGAGGTTTGAAAGTGCATTGTTCAAAGCCACCTTGTCCACCGCTGAGCCCATGTGCCTGGGCAGCAACACCTGCGTGGGCGGAGTCTGATTATGTCAGGGGAAGAGGTCACAGAGGGGGGCGGGTTACAGGAAGTGGGTGTTTACCTCCAGTATGAAAACTTTAGCGGCGTGTGCACGTGTGTTTGTGTGATGCCAGGCCGTGTACTCGTCCACACGGGCCCGCTGCTGTGGTTGCCGTGGATACCAGTGCTCAGGGACATCGTACTGCGTTGCCAGGTACTTCAGAATGGCATCGCTGCAACAGGTAAACAGGCGGGTTAGATAACCACCTGAGGGACTGATGACACCACCATGAATATTTGGATGGAACATTCTGGATGGGATGTACAGGTGGTTCTACTGGAACAGGATGGTCCTTTCATCTGGAGAGGACAAAACCAGCCCTGACTGCCAGACTAGCGAGCTGAAAACGGGTAGATTTGCTTTATAGTTACAGGTTAATGATCACAACTGACCATGGAATAAAACACCCAAGTACACGTGAAAGTCAGTTATTTATGTTTATTCATTTAGCAGATTCAATCAGAAGGGTTTGTGGGTTAGAAGCATGCAAATCCCGGGATTTGAACCTACAACCTTTTCTAGCAGCAGTGCCACTATCACTAAACCTGGAACCATCTCTAGTCATAAATATGAAAGCTAGTGAGATTTGGACAAACTGCAAAACTAACTTAACACTGTCAGACTGGTCACAAGAATTGTACAGTTCCCAGCCAATCAGGAGACAGGTGGGCGTGGCTAGCTAAAGTTTTTTGAATGACCGCCCTGAAACGGCTCATTGTGGAAGGTACTGAAACTGTTGAGAATAAAACGGCTGAAATCGCTTCACTGGAGTCCAGAGAACTAAAATGTCTCCTTTAATGAAACTAGAGAAACGTTATAATGAAGAAGTGATCGATGGCTCTTCATCTTTACTTTCTACTAACAAACTAATCTCTAATCGATCACATCTGAGGAAGATAAAATAACACAGAAAAGCACCTTTGACAGCACTCGAGGACAAAGAAGCAGATTAAGGAGGTTTGTTAGATGTGTGTGTGTGTGTGTGTGTGTGTGTACACCTTTCAGTAAGGATGAAACCACTGTCCACCAGAACTGGGACCTTCTGCATCAAGTTCATGTTTGTAAATTCTGGAGTTCGATGTTCTCCTGAAAACATCAGAAGTCAGCAAAGCGTTTAAAATAAACCAGATGTGACTGACTCCAGGTTAAAACAGATGTGACTGACTCCAGGTTAAAACAAACCAGATGTGACTGACTCCAGGTTAAAAATAAACCAGATGTGACTGACTCCAGGTTAAAATAAACCAGATGTGACTGACTCCAGGTTAAAATAAACCAGATGTGACTGACTCCAGGTTAAAACAAACCAGATGTGACTGACTCCAGGTTAAAATAAACCAGATGCGACTGACTCCAGGTTAAAAATAAACCAGATGCGACTGACTCCAAGTTAAAAAAACAGATGCGACTGACTCCAAGTAAAAAAAACAGATGCGACTGACTCCAAGTTAAAAATAAACCAGATGCGACTGACTCCAGGTTAAAAATAAACCAGATGTGACTGACTCCAGGTTAAAATAAACCAGATGCGACTGACTCCAAGTTAAAAATAAACCAGATGCGACTGACCCCAAGTTAAAAATAAACCAGATGCGACTGACTCCAAGTTAAAAATAAACCAGATGCGACTGACTCCAAGTTAAAAATAAACCAGATGCGACTGACTCCAGGTTAAAAATAAACCAGATGCGACTGACTCCAGGTTAAAAATAAACCAGATGCGACTGACTCCAGGTTAAAAATAAACCAGATGCGACTGACTCCAGGTTAAAAATAAACCAGATGCGACTGACTCCAGGTTAAAAATAAACCAGATGCGACTGACTCCAGGTTAAAAATAAACCAGATGCGACTGACTCCAGGTTAAAAATAAACCAGATGCGATGCGACTGACTCCAGAGGAAGATCTTCTGGTGGAACGTTTCAGACACCTGAATATTTCTGTTGACCTACAGAAACTAAATCCACCAGCAGTCAAAAGCTGATGGGGTGTCAGGATCAGCTGATTTTGAAACCATGGAAACTTCAGCACGGGATCAGACATGCTTTACATCAGTAGCTTAGATTTGTGAAAGTCACTGTACAGCTCAGCTTAAACATTTCCCAACCTGAACATGACATTATCCACCTTCTATAAGTCAAAATGACCAACGCTCTCTGATGAAAGGAGCAAACCAAACCAGCTCAGCTGGTCAGTTACTGTGATTAATAACGGGGGTGATTCCTTTGATCACAGAGATCACACTAACGCACGCGCCTGTTCCGACCACCTGTTTCTGCGCATTGACCAGCTGGTTCGGCTCCGTCTACTCTCTGGTACGTTTGTTTTATTCCGTTTCTGGTGTATAGGAGGAAGTTATGGAAACTAACCCGAACCTGGTTACCTGCTCAGTGACACGAGGCTGAAGTTAGCTTCCGATTCGAAAAACGGCTAAAGGGCCATTACACCCAATTTTTCTCTACTCTGACCATCTGTAATCTGCTCTGGCTCAAAAACTACAACAGCCACACCGTTCAAACCTGTTCTAGATTATTCTACTATAATAGCAGATTGCATACAACCTTGTTTAGGATTTGTGAAACCTTGTTTGGGATTTGTGAAACTTCAACAAAGCCAGATTTATGTTTTTTCAGCACGCTGTGTTTTATTTAATCTGCTATTATAGTAGAATAATGTAGAGCAGGTCTAAACAGCGTGGCTGTTGTAGTTTTTGAGCTAGAGCAGATTAAAGATGGTCAGAGTAGAAAAATTGGGTGTAATGGCCCTTTAGCCTGTTACCGAATCGGAAGCCGACTTCAGCCACGTCTCAGTGACGTGGTTAGTTTGTAGCTCACCTTTCCTCAGCGCCACGGCGTGGACTTTGTGCGGGATCTTGGTACAGGTGAGCAGGATGTAGACCGCCCTGCAGGGCTGAGACAGCAGGTCCAGGTACACCTGCACCGGCCGGCCCGTTGCCATGGAGATGGAGCCCATCAGAAACAGCTAGCCGGGAGGAAACACCAACCAACTTACTCGGTAAAAACCATAAAAACCCTTGTTCTTCCTCCGGAGTCCGCTGCGTTTGGTCAGCTGCCGACTGCTCTACGCATGCGCAGAGCCCCTCCAATAGCAGCCCCTTACAGTGGTCACGTGATAGTCGCCGACACAATTAAAGGTCTTTGCAAATACAAAAAAAGGGATTTATTTATTTAGAAAGTGCAAAAAGGTTCTGTTAACTTTAACACTGAACCCGTTTGTGCTTCAGGTTCTGGAGGGTTTCCGGTTCCGCTCCGCGTTCCTGAAGAAACCACAAACATAAAACTGAAATGATTAAACATGAGGCCACCACAGATGGGAGGTGCTTTAAGAACACCACAGGAACCAGAACTATTGCTTCAACTGTTTTCCGATGTAGAACCCGAGAGTCCATGTGAGAGTTTACGCTCTGGTTCTGATCCAGTCTGACCCAGCCCAGTTTGTGGTGGCTGGCTTTGTGGAGCCCGCTCCGGGTCCGTGGTGGACCTGTTGACGATCCGCATTCCTGAGAAGTGATTGGCTGAAGCTGTGAGGTCACCAGACAGCAGCAGAGATCTCTGCAGGTGGAAGAACAGCTGTTGTGAGAAACAGTCACACCTGGCGGCAGGTATGTCAGGACCTCCTTGCCGGGACTCACCACAACCTTCCTGTTTCTTCCTCTCTCTTGGATCTTTTTCAGCGGCTCATCCTCTTCTCCTTCTTTTTCTTTTTCTTCCTCCTCCCTCTGATTGACTGGATGGGATGTCTCCTCTGTGATTGGCTGCATGGTAGCCAGGAGGGCAGGGAGAGTGAAGCAGGACAGGAAGCGGGCCTTCAAGAGTTGGTAGGCGGGGTTTAACGAGTAACGCTCTGCCACCATTTGACGTAACAGCTCCACCTGCTCCTCTTGGCTGGGAATGATGGCGGGAGCTGCAAGGAGAAAAAACAAACATCTGAGAACACACCTGAACTCCTCAGGTAAGACCCAAATGAGGAGAGTGGCTCAGGTGGGTTACCTGGATGGTCTTCAGCAGCTCTGACATCGGATGTGGAGTCTGGTAAGTCTGCAGCGGAGTGGGCGGGGTCTGGATTGTTGGCGCCATTCAGCAGCTGAAGCGATGATGTCATCAAAGCTTTTTTGGTGCGGAGCAGATTTCTGAATGTGCTCAGGTTGCTGAAAAAAGGTGGCAGGTAAGGGAGTGCCGACCTGGCTCCAGGTACAGCCACACCCCCACGTCCACTCAGCCAACCACACACCTCCTCTGTGGGTTCCTGGAACATCAGGGCGGGGTTAAACTGCAGTCCCTCTGTCCTGAGGGGAGGAGCTTTCACCGACTCCACCTTGATCACTCCCTTATATGGAAAGATCAAGTCAGGTTCTTGGCAACGGTTCGAGTCATGTGACCTCGGAATGGGCATTAACTGGCAAGTGGGTGTGGCATAAAAAGGATTGGGCGGATTGAAAACTGGATCCCGGGATGCAGCAGGTGGTTTTAGTCTGACAGATGGGAGGCTTCCGGCTGTGGGAGGGGGAGGGGCCTGAGGCGCTGGTTGGACGGAGCTTGGGACAGACATCAGTTGCATGTGTGGGGGCGGAGCCAGAGGAACTAGACCAGTGGGGGTCATGACCCACAATGTCTGATGAAAGTTCAACCCGGCAATTTGTGGGAGGGGTGTAGTCTGCGGGAGGGGTGTAGTCTGCGGGAGAGGTGGAGTCTGTGGGAGGGGTGGAGTCTTCGGGAGGGGTGGAGTCTGTGGGAGGGGTGGAGTCTTCGGGAGGGGTGTAGTCTTCGGGAGGGGTGGAGTCTGTGGGAGGGGTGGAGTCTTCGGGAGGGGTGTAGTCTGCGGGAGGGGTGGAGTCTGCGGCAGGGGCGCAATCACCTGCTTCCTGCGAGTTCGGGACTTCTGCTTCGGCTGAGCTGAGGAGGCGGAGCTTCTCCCCTTTCTTTCAGCCTGGAAACACACAGAAGAGTCAGTCGGCTTTTTTACCCAATCAGATCTCAGAACAAAGAAATGGAGTCAGAAACTGGGCTCACCTCGGCCAAGGCTTCTCGAATTTTGAAACTTGGCTTGCGGAGGCGTTTCCCATCCAGGGTCACTCCTGGCCCGGAACTGCCCGCCTCCTCTTGCTGTTCCTCCCCCTTCCTTTTCCTGCCTTCAGGCTCTGGGGTCGCCGTGGGGGCCGAATCAGAGCCTTTTGGGGCGTTGTCAACAGTGCTGTAATTGTGGTCCATGTCTATTGTGGAGGTAGGCGGAGCTAAACCGAGGCTTTCAGCAGGGGAAAAAGAGAACGTGCCAGGGGCCGGAGGATGGGGAGCAGAGCCGGTTTTCTGGGTTAGATCCTTTTCTGGTGACGAGTCCCTCGTGGTTTTCGGCTGGTGAGTCAAACACAAGATGATCAGAGACCAACAGACACGGCTCAGGGGGGGGGGTGAACATTTTGCATAGTGAGGGGTGGGACCTCTCCCGATTGGCTGGACAGCAACCAATCCTGTGTGTTTGTGTGCTAGGCTAAGCTAGTCAGGTGAAGAGAGTGGAAGTAGCGCCACCTGGAGCCCACCGTGAGTACGAGAGTTTACAGTTGAGTGCTTTTGCTGATTGTCAGAAAGAGAAATCACCTGAGCGGGAGTTACCTGAGCTTTCTGCTGAGCTCCATCCACACCTGTACCTGCTGCCATGCTCTGGCTGCTGCAGGTGGCCTCCTCCCTCTGCTCTCTCCGTGTGGGTGGAGTCACGGCGAGGCTCGGAGCAGCAGGGGAGGTTCCCGATGAGATTAAAGTGGTGCTGTCACTGGTCACAGCAGAGCCGATGGGAAAGGCCTGGGGAGGGGGCAAAGCTAACGGGATGAGAACTGGGTTAGTGGTTGGTAGTGTTGAGATGAAAGGAGGAGCTCCTGTAGGAGGAGGTCTGATGTTGGTAAAGGAAGGAGATGCAACAGTGGGCTGAGAGGTCGGAGGAGGTAGGAGGAAGACCTGAGGAGTCGGGTGACCAGGAACCTGCAGGAGAACACACGGCTGCAGCTTCTGCTGCGGCGCCTCCTGAAGCCTCAGCCTGCCCTGCTCGTCCTCCTCCTGAAGGAGTTGTGCAGTCTTCTTCCAAATGTTATTCCTGACAAGTGATGAAGCAGGGGGCGGAGCCTGATGCACCATCTTTTTCTTTCTCTGCAGGATCATTTCCTTGCAGCCAACAACGTCAACATTCATGGCCTGGAGGAACAGCACGAAGGCGGAGGAGGTGGAAATGTTTCTGCTCTCCGATTTCTCTCTCAGGACATCAGCGACTGTCTTGCGCCTCCTTTCCTTGATCAGCAGGTTCCCGATCCATGGTGTGACCGCAGCCTGCAGTGTCAAATCCAAGCTCCTGTCCGCCAGCTTGCTACTGGGGGGCAGCGCGGTGGACTCCTTCTTTATGAGGTCCAGGTAAGTTTTCAGCTGGCAACATTTCACCATCATCATGGCGGCGCTGTTGTGGCGCTCCTCACGGTTGAGCAGTCTGAGAGGAGCTCCAAAGATGACAGAGCTTCCCGACTCTTCCACCACAGTGGAGCGGACACATTTCCCGTCTGGGGAATTGGACGATGAAGACAGGACCACCGGTTGAAAGTTCAGCGATGGGCCGGTCTCAGATTTCTCTGTAGGGATCCACTCCTTCATGGGTGGGATCACGTACTCCTCGTCCTCTTCCTCTAGCTCTGTGGTCTCCTGCTCTGTGGTCTCCTGCTCTGTGGTCTCCTGCTCTGTGGTCTCTTGCTCTGTGGTCTCTTGCTCTGTGGTCTCTTGCTCTGTGGTCTCCTGCTCTGTGGTCTCCTGCTCTGTGGTCTCCTGCTCTATGGTCTCCTGCTCTATGGTCTCCTGCTCTATGGTCTCCTGCTCTGTGGTCTCCACCTCTACGGTCTCCAGCTCTATGATCTCCTGCTCTATGGTCTCCTGCTTTATGGTCGCTTTCATCCGCTTTCTCTTTTTCTTCCTGTCTTCATCACTGTCTGTGTCCAGCACCATGTCCTCATCCTCTTCTCCCTCAGTTACCTCCACCTCTTCGTTTATATCCTCCTCCTCCTCCTTTGTGATCTTCACAAATCTCCCGATTTTCCTCTTAGCCTTAGCCTTTCCTCCTCCTCTTGTGGTCTGCTTTCTCCTTAGGTAAGGCTGTAAGACAGAGACAACAAACCCCACCATCAGGTCCAAGACCACAACTCACCAGGTCTTCATGTCTCCTTCCCAACCGCTGGATCACAACCAGCTGTCTGTAATTCCTCCATTCTGCATTTCCATTCCAACCACATTCGTTATCCGTCCCTCACAATTATAAAGAGAAATAATAATTCAACAGAATTCAAAATGTACTGAAGTGATGCGGTTCTAGGACGGGGTGATTTTGAAGGATCGGTGAAAGGATTTACTCGATTATTCATGTGCAAAATTAGACTTTACTGTGTTCGATAAACAGGTAAATGTCCTTCTTAGGGTTCTGCAGCCCCCCAAGGCGCTTTGCAACGCGGTCACACACGGGTGACGATGAGCTACGATGGGGCGCACCGACAGAGGCGAGGCTGCCGAACACCACCAGCAGGCAAGGTGGGTTAAGGGTCTTGCCCAAGGACACAACAGCAGCATCCACTGGACAGGGCCGGGCTCGAACCTTCTGATTACTGGACAACCTGCTTTACTTCCTGAGCTACAGTTGCCCTCAAGGTAACATGATACGGAGGCCCACAGCGGCCAAAATACCTGAGGAACATCCATGAATGGTTCCCTACTCGCTGATGAGACACGACATTTTTACCTCATCTAAAGAAAATACATCTATTTTATCCTGGTGCAAGAAAAATGTAACGGTGTTATAGAGGACCATAAGATTATGGCTCCGCCCCTAGTAGCAAAGAAGAAGAAGAAAAAAAAAAGGAAGAATAAGAAAAAAAGAAAAGAAAAAGAAGAAACAAAGAAGAAAAAGAAGAAAAAGAAAAAGAAGAAAAAGAAAGGAAAGAAAAAGAAAAAAAGAAGAAAAAGAAAGAAAAGAAAAAGAAGAAAGAAAAAAAGAAGAAAAGAAAGAACAAAAGAAAAATAAAGAAAAGAAAAAAGAAAAAAAGAAGAAAAGAAAGAACAAAAGAAAAAGAAAGAAAAGAAAAAAGAAAAAGAAGAAAAAGAAAGAAAAAGAAGAAGAAAGAAGAAAAAAGAAGAAAAAAGAAAAAGAAGGAAGAAAAAAGAAAAAGGAAAAAGAAGAAAAAGAAAAAGAAGAAAAAAAAGAAGAAGACGAAAAAGAAAAAGAAAGAAAAAGGAAAAAGAAAGAAAAAGAAAAAGAAGGAAAAAAGAAAAAGAAAGAAAAAAGAAAAAAGAAAGAAAGAAAGAGATGAAGAAAAAGATGAAGAGAAAGAAGAAAAAGAAGATAAAGAAAAAGAAGAAAAAGAAAAAGAAGAAAAAGAAGATGAAGAAAAAGAATAAGAAGAAAAATAGGAAGAAAAAGAAGAAAGAAAAAGAAAAAAGAAGAAAAGAAAGAAGAAAAAGAAAAAAGAAGAAAGAAAAGAAAAAGAAAAAGAAGAAAAAGGAAGAAAAAGAAGGAAAAAGATGAAGAGAAAGAAGAAAAAGAAGATGAAAAAAAGAAAATATCATTTCTATAGCGCCTCTCAAGATAAAAATCACGAGGCGCTTCACAAAAACAGAAAAATGTAAAAATATAAACAAAGCATTTAGAAAATGTTGAAAAATATATTTAAAATGAGCAAAAATAAGCAATTGAGATTAAAAAATGTTAAGAAAGAGAGAGAGTGAACAGGAAAGAGGGAAATCAGTGGATCCTGAGGAAGGTGGAATAGGTGGGGAGAGCAGAATAAAGAGAGAGTGGTGAAGAAGGTCATACAAAAGCCAGCTTGAACAAGTGAGTCTTCAGCTGCTTTTTAAAGGAGACCACTGAGTCCACTGATCTCAGGCTCAGGGGGAGAGAGTTCCAGAGTCTGGGGGCCACAGCAGCAGATGATCTGTCACCTTTGACCTTTAGCCTGGTGCTGCACAACCAGTAGGCTTTGATCACTGGACCTCAGGGACCTGCTGGGGGTGTAGGGACTAAGAAGATCACCAATGTAAGATGGTGCTTGTCCATGTAAGGCCCTATAGACCAGAACCAGGATCTTGAAATGAACCCTGAAGTTGACTGGAAGCCAGTGAAGCTGGAGGAGAAGCGGGGTGATGTGGGTGTGTTTGGAGGACTTGGTCAGAAGCCGAGCACAGGCGTTCTGAACCACCTGTAGACGGTTCAGGGAGGTTCTGCTCAGACACGTGAAAAGAGAGTTACAGTAGTCTAAGCGTGAGGAGATGAAGGTGTGGAGAACTGTCTCAAGTTCAGAGCGGGACAGGACGGGACTCAGCTTACCCGAGTAAAACAAGTCATTTTCCTCCACTCTCGCATGCATTGAGCATCATAACGATGAGGAATCTCTGCTGCGATCTTCGCCCAACGACCTAAAACACATCATCGTCATCGTCATCTTCATCGTCTTCACCGTCATTCAGAAAAAGCAAATGCTTACCAATTCCGTGTTTCACCACCAGAAACTTCAGCAGCTCCTGCTCATGTGTGCTAAACGGTTCTCTGTTGATGTCCTTCCGGAGACAGTCCAAATACCTGGACACAAGTCAACCCCGTCAACCCGGAGATCTAGACACCACGGCCTGTCCTGGCTCCTGTCTCACCTGTCTCTGCAGCCGCTGTCGGTGCGTCCAGGAACATCCAGCCTGACCTTCCACCAGCACTCTCCATGACGAGACACGGCTTTAAGGAGGAGCTGGAGGACAGAGACAGGAGGACAGTACTTTGATACCAGACTCTTCACAGTTCACACCGACGAGAAGCAGATCCGTCCACTCTGGGCGTCCGAATGAGGACAGGAAGACCGATACACACCTGGTCTTCCTCTTTGGTCCACGGGCCTTTCTTCAGGCGTGGGTCCAAAACCTGCATCCACCTGTTGAGGAGCTGACCTGGATCACGACCCTCCATGAAGTAACTGACTGTGAGTAGAAGAGACGGGGCAGGTTGGTGTCACACAGCGATGATGTCACACTGAAATGATGTCAGAGCGTGATGTCATTACTCTGAGTGTAGGGGATGTAGTTTCCTATCCTCATCTTCTCCACAAGCGCTTTAAACCGAGCATCTTCTTCTGCAGTCCAGCTGCTACGTCTCAGAGACTTTGAGACAAAACGCTGGAACATCTGAAGACACATGAAGGCCGTCCTCCCCGTCTGAGGGACGGGTCAGAGAGAGAGAGAGAGAGAGAGAGAGACGGGTCAGATGGAAAGAAGTGGGTTTAGTGAGAGAAAGACGGGTCAGATAGGACTTCCTCACCCCCAGCTCCTCAGCGATTCTCTCCCAGTGCCTCTCTTGGTGTCTCCTGCTGATCCCCTTCAGCTGCAGCACCTCCTCTTTGCTCCATGCCGCCTTATTGATGGACGGATGCAGGAAGTTCTGCCAGAAGAGACGGATGTCGTCTGCATCCTTTGTCCCTTCAAACTGAAGAGGAGAGGGAGTCAGCTGGTCCATCAGCTGATCGATCAGCTGACCGACTCTTACTCACGTCGATGTTTGAGATTTTCTGCCAGTCGTGCTCTTCATATCGGCTGCCAATCATCTCGTCCCCCTTCTTCTGCCTGACCAATGAGAGCACAGAACAGGACATGATGCCTCTGCCCAGGGCCGCCTGCGGACCGAGCTGTGGTAGGGTTGAATTTCAGCGTAATCCTGCGAGTCCACGTGCAGCGTGACTCAAGGACAGACCATCTCAATGACGGGACGTGCGGTGCAACGGGTCATCAAAGGCTAAATAAACCGCTCTCTCCAAGTTCTCCTTGTTCACTCCGAAGAGGCGTTTGGAAAAAGTTGGATTTGTTACTAAACTTTCGAACGAGTCACGACCCAACCCGACTGCCGGAGAGTGGGGCTGTTTGGCGCCCAGGCCACCGGAGAATATCCCAGTGGCCTGGGCGCCGCTGGTGTGAGCGGAACTATCCAACCACGCCACCTAGTGGTAGAGCTGGAGCTGGCCAGCCTTAGGAGATGGTGTCTCCTGACCTGCACTGACCTTCTGAGGTCAGGTTTCTTAATAACCTTACCTGAGCAGGTCTATCTCTTTCTCCAGACCTTCTATCTGCTTTCTGAGCTGGAACTGCTCATCTTCGTTTGCAGTGGACATCTTCTGAGTCAGGTAATCCACCCTGGGGAAGGCAGAGGGGGACTCAGGAGGATCCGACAACAACAACAACAACAACAACTCAAGAGGAAGAACAGCAGCTCTGCTCACTTGGACAGTTTGGGTTGGATGAGTCTCTTCAGACTGTCTCTGCTCACAGAGTGGATCAGCAGGCTCTTGTGCCAGCTCTGCCCTGAACACACACACACACACGCACACACACACGCACACGCACACACACACAGTTTGAGATCTGTCCAGATGAAGCACCAAGACCACCAGAAACAGTTCTACCTACATCGTTTGGCTCGGAGCTTCTTCTCAGCGGGACATCCTGCCATCCTCTGAGCTCTCAGACGAGCCTCCTGATTGGCTGGAGGACCCTGGACACAAATGCACACAACCTCTGCTTGGTAAGATGCCATCAGAGTGTTTCTGTCCTACAGTGAAGATGTTTATGTCCTTGCAGATACTTTTACTCTCTACCAAAAAGCTTCTGTGAATGATAACTGGTCAAACAGTGAAGGTCTGCTGTACACAAAATGGGACGTGGCCCAGCAGCAGGTGGGTGGAAGGTCTTGGGGGTTCATCCAGGTGATTTTCAGGAGAGACACTAGAAGACATTTAGTATCTGGTTGTCCCGTGAGCTTTGGGTTCACCTGTCTTCTAGGGGCGGGGCTTGCTCCTCTGGAACCAGCTTATCGTTATCGGTCCAGAGAAGCACTGGATCTCCAGAAGAGGATGGTCTACAGGTTAGGGATGGGTACCTTTGACATTTGAATCGATTCGGTACTAATTCCCGGTACCTACGAATCGATACCGGTACTTAACGGTACCAATTTTAGATACTTTTGAGTGTTTAATATTTTAATTCTCTTTTATAATTAAATATATATTTTTCTCAATATATAACAATATTTGATGAATATCACGATAAATAACATACAACTGTTTGTATTTTAACATCGTCCTTGTAGTTTTATAAGCTGATAATTAAACTGAAGCAAACATCTTTACTGTGAACTAAATTTACTGTGTATCTTCATTCCTTTTACCTCCTTTTTCATTTGATTTTTCCTACTGGGAAGTTAGAATTTCCGAGGAGAAAGCGAACGCACCATTAGCTGATAACAATGGTGGCAATGGAAGCTAACAAATCAAGCTAACATTATCTTAAACAGTTTATGTAGCTGCTGGAGCAGATTAAAACGATGATGCCTCACACTTAGATCGTTGTCGCTGGTTTCATCTTCACCCAATCACCCGTCGCATTTAGTAAAGTGAAGCCAAACTTTAGAGCGCGTTCATGTTCTTCTAGTCGGAAATTCTGAGTTCCGAGGAGAAAGCGAACGCACCATTAGCAGAACGGAAGCTAACATATCAAGCTAACGTTATCTTAGACATTTTATTTACCTACCGGAGCAGATTAAGATGAGGATGTCTCACTTAGATCGTTGTCGCTGGTTTCATCATCACCCAGTTACCCATCACATTTAGTGAAGTGGACCCAAGCTTTAGCGTGCGTTCTTTCTACCATGCTGCTCTGTTTACAACTGGCTCGCAGCGAGCGACGACATTACGCTCTTGCGCATGCGCAGCTGTCTAGGCAAGTTCTCGTTATGAAGGACGGGTACCGAAATGAGGCACCGTTTCAAATGACGTGAATCGATGCTCAGTCGGTACTATGGAATTCGGTACCCATCGCTACTACAGGTCCGTGTCGACCAACAGACATATAATCTTAACAGATGTCAGAGTAGAGACTCGCTGGAATTTCAGTCGGCACTGGAGAACTTATTACACAACACTAAACCGGTCAAGACGAGACCCAGACCAGACTAGACTAAACCAGACCAGACCCAGACCAGACTAGACTAAGCTAGACCAGATCTAGACCAGACCCAGACCAGACTAGACTAAGCTAGACCAGATCTAGACCAGACCCAGACCAGACTAGACTAAGCTAGACCAGATCTAGACCAGACCCAGACCAGACTAGACTAAACCAGACCAGATCTGGACCAGACCCAGATGAGACTAGACTAACCAAACCAGATCTAGACCAGACCCAGACCAGACTAGACTAAACTAGAGCAGATCTAGACTAAACTAGACCAGATCTAGACCAGACCCAGACCAGATCTAGACTAAACCAGACCAGATCTAGACCAGACCCAGACCATATTTAGACTAAACCAGACCAGATCCAGACTAAACCACACCAGATCTAGACTAAGCCAGACCAGATCTAGACAGACCCAGACCAGATCTAGACTAAACTAGACCATATCTAGACTAAACTAGACCAGATCTAGACCGGACCCAGACCAGACTAGACTAAACTAGACCAGATCTAGACCAGACCCAGATGAGACTAGACTAACCAGACCAGATTTAGACCAGACCCAGACCAGACTAGACTAAACTAGACCAGATCTAGACCAGACCCAGACCATATTTAGACTAAACAAGACCAGATCTAGACTAAACCACACCAGATCTAGACTAAACCAGACCAGATGTAGACTAAATCAGACCAGATCTAGACCAGACCCAGACCAGATCTAGACTAAACCAGACCAGATCTAGACTAAACTAGACCAGATCTAGACCAGACCCAGACCAGACTAGACTAAACTAGACCAGATCTAGACCAGACCCAGACCAGACTAAACTAGACCAGATCTAGACCAGGCCCAGGCCCAGACCAGACTAAACTAGACCAGATCTAGACCAGACCCAGACAAGACTAGACTAAACCAGACCCAGACCAGATCTAAACCAGATTAGATCTAGACCAGACCCAGTTGAGACTAGACTAAACCAGACCAGATCTAGACCAGACTAGATCTAACCAGACTAGATCTAGACCAGACCAGATCTAAACCAGACTAGATCTAGACTAAACCAGACCAGATCTAGACTAAACCAGACCAGATCTGACTAAACCAGACCAGATATAGACTAAACCAGACCAGATATAGACCAGACCCAGACCAGACTAAACTAGACCAGATCTAGACCAGACCCAGACCAGATCTAAACCAGATTAGATCTAGACTAGACCCAGATGAGACTAGACTAAACCAGACCAGATCTAGACCAGACCAGATCTAACCAGACTAGATCTAGACCAGACCAGATCTAGACCAAACCAGACCAGATATAGACCAGACCCAGACCAGATCTAGTCTAAACTAGACCAGATCTAGACCAGACCCAGACCAGACTAAACTAGACCAGATCTAGACCAGACCCAGACCAGATCTAAACCAGATTAGATCTAGACTAGACCCAGATGAGACTAGACTAAACCAGACCAGATCTAGACCAGACCAGACCAGATCTAAACCAGATTAGATCTAGACCAGACCCAGATGAGACTAGACTACACCAGACCAGATCTAGAGCAGACCAGATCTAACCAGACTAGATCTAGACCAGACCAGATCTAGACTAAACCAGACCAGATCTAGACCAGATCACATCTAGACTAAACCAGACCAGATCTAGACCAGACCACATCTAAACTAAACCAGACCAGATCTAGACCAGACCAATCTAGACTAAACCAGACCAGATCTAGACCAGATTAGATCTAGACCAGACCCAGATGAGACTAGACTAAACCAGACCAGACTAGGGCTGTCGCGGTTGAGGAATTCCCCCTGCGGTGATTCAGGGTGGCTTAATATTGCGGTGTGCGATATTATTGCAGCACTTTTTTATTGCAGTACTATCTAAACATAATGTTTACACATTTAAAAAAGGTTAAAAATTGCCGTGCCTTCTTTTATAACACTTTACTGAATGCAGATCAAAGGGCAGTAACAACACAGATCGCAGTAACGTTTGTTTGTCCGACAGTCGGAGTCCGACTGAACTTAAAAACAACAAAATTCAGGAGAAGGTTAAACTTTTAAATGCAAATTTGGCTGCAGCATCTAACAAATAAGAAACAAGTCCCCATTTTGTTTAGTTGTTTAAAATCAAGCATAAAAAATTACATGTACCGGGCGCGCGCGCGCGCGCCGGGGGGCGGGCGCACTATCATTTCACTTTCACACACACGAATGACGGTGATTTATAGCTCGGTCACGTCCTTGTTACCTACAAGGAAAACCAGCATGTTAACTACGGTTTGAGAGAGGATCTGAGAGGGGAGGCAACATTTGCAGCAACACTGAAAACCCTCTCGGATGGTGCGCTCGTTGCACTAACACACACGTACTTGCGTGCGACTCTGGCGAGCAAAGGGAATCTCCCGTTTGTTGCTCCACCATGTCAGGGGGGTTTCTTTAGGGTGGATGCATTCCTCCTGCAGGTAGCGAGTGAGCTCCAGCTCGGCTCAAACTCTCTTTGGGACGGCTGCAGAAGCAGTGCTTGTCCGGGACTTCAGCAGGTCTCGAGCGTTTATTTATTTATTTATTTGCCGCTGGTGGCAGCTCTGTCTCGGCCAAGGACTCTGGCTGCGCAGCAGCTGACGTACTGAAAACCAAAGCGCTCCCACAGGAGCCAAGTAACGTTTCGTTTTGATACCAGTGCAGCCGTCCTTCTCAACATGCATCATTGAGTTGAACCAAGTTCAGTAATCGCGGTGGCGCATGATGCAGCGCGGTGGGCTTCTTCATATCGCGATATTTCATTTTTGCGGTTACCGCGACAGCCCTAGACCAGACCACATCTAGACTAAACCAGACCAGATCTAGACCAGACCCAGATGAGACTAGACTAAACCAGACCAGATCTAGACCAGACCAGATCTAACAAGACTAGATCTAGACCAGACTAGACCAGATCTAAACCAGACCAGATCTAGACTAAACCAGACCAGATCTAGACCAGCTCCACTGGCTGACCTACCGAACCAGGAGTTTTGTTTCAATTTAGAAGACAGTTGTTTTAGGTGTTCTGCCCCCACTGAGAAGATATTAGTTCTGGTCTGGTTCTAATGAGCTGCTACTTTAAACTGGAAAACATCACTAGTTAAAATAAGGTTGGTTTTGTGCGTCTCTATTGGGCCATTCCCATCTGTACCGGGTCGGCCCGGGCCGGGTAGCGTAGGTTGTTTACATATCTGGGTGGCCTGGTATTTTTCCGGGCCAACCAAGGCTCATTCTCAGCCCTCTTCTCGAGGGGGTCTGCTTCAGGCCGACCAGGGCCAACACACCCACTGCTGACAGCAAATTCACACCTTCCATTAGAGCAAGCCTCTGATTGGTGGGTAGAATCAGCCCACATGGGCTTAAGGCAAGGATGTGTGGAATCAACCGGGCCAGGCTGGGGCCGACTGGGGCTACCTGGCCCGGGCCGACCCGGTACAGATGGGAATGGCCCATAAGTGTCCCTGTCCCTGTCCCCATTACCAGTCCCGTCAGCTTGTCCTTGAAGTATGGTTTCAGGAAGCTTCCCAGGAACATCCTGGGTGGATACTGAAGCGAGGAGGTGGGACGTTCTTTGGACTCCTTGATTGGTCCAGAAATCTGTGACAAGATGTCCCTCTGCAGATACATGTCTCACATCAGTAACTTGCACACACCCAACTGAACTGTGTACGGTTTTAATCTGTCCGGTTCTCACCTGCTGTGTCTGATTTTGAGTCAGGAGTGTCTCAAGCTGGTCCAGAGTCTCCTGGATCACCTGCTGGTAGACCAAGTTCACCTGAAGACACGAATCAACAGACTCTGACAGACCCAGGTCACTCTGAGGACAAAGAACAAAGGCTTAACCTGCAGTTGGTGTACACACACACACACACACACACACACAAACACACACACACACACACACACACACACAATCGCAGGTTCTAACCGTGTCACTGGAGCTGCTGTCCCTGCTGGACACACTGAGTGGACTGTGTGGTCCCAGCATGTCCTCCAGGTTCTGGATTGCTGTTTGGATCTTTTTCTTCTGGACCAACAAGCTGGCTGCACACTGAAAACACACACACACATGTTAAAAGTCTTGCCCAAGGGCACAACAGCAGAGGAGGAGGGAACTGAAACACCAACCCGCTCCTCCCCCTCCTCCTAAGACATACCTGTCCTCTAACTCAACAGGGACCGTCTCCTTGCTTACCTGTCCCACCTCATCCTGCTCGTCCTCACTGTCTGAGACATCATCTGATGAGTCACAGGGACACAGAATGAGACAAAAGACAGACAGGCAGAGTGATACAATTGTGATGGGAAAGACAGATGTCTCTTTACCCGTCTCACTGCTCAGCAGGTCCAGTTCAGTTTCATCCACAGAGAGTTTCTGTTGAAGCTCCTCCACCTGTCTCTGGACCCTGTCCCTCTCAGCTGACAGTGACACAGACATGTCTTTGGGCAGAGACAGACAAGCCAGAGGTCAAAACATGAAGTGACCCATTGGACGCGAGTGCTTGGTCTGGTGGTCCGTCTCCTATGTCCTTCATTGTCCCCATTTCACCTGTCCTCAAACACTCCCAACTCCCTTATCCACCTTTATCCCTACCCCACCTATCTCGTCCTCCATCCCACCTGTCCTCCATTCTCAAACATCCCCGTCTCCCTTACCGCCTCTGTCCTCCCTCGTTTCCATCCCACATGTGCCCTGGCCACGGACCTCCATGCCTTTCCGGGTTCCACCTGTCCCGTTAACAGCACCCGTTTCTTCACCTGTGTATCTCACCTGCGTTTGTGTTGGTCACATTTCCGCCGCGCGTCTCCATTCGGTGAGCTGTGACGCTAGCATATTACCCAGCAGGCTGTGCGAAAAGATAAACGTTTCCGTTACGTTTCTTTGTTCGGATTTGGTTCTGCACTTTTCAGACGACCAGAGCGTTCTGTTCACCGTCGGTCGTCCGTTGGAGCTATGCTGTTGATGAAAACAGAATGAACCACCGAATGCTTTATTTTTGTTCCGGCTTCCGGGTGCGTTTCCGCCTAGCCCTTGAATAACCTTTATTAAAACCGTGGTTGGTTAACACAGGGCTTTCAGACTCACCGACACACAAATATCACTCTCCACATTTTCGCACGCGACACACCCAATTTCTCACGAGCAAAAAGAGTTCATGTGTCAGAGATACACTCCCCTAGCTCCGGCGCTGGAAACGCAGTTTTTAATTGACTTAATATGAACGAAGAGGTGATTATCGCCCTCCAGTGGCGACGAGGTGGAACTACACTGGTTCTAGTGCGTAACCCTAACCAGCGACTTTATGTATGTGTATACTGACTGATTATATATATATATATATATATATATATATATATATATATATATATATATATATATATATATATATATATATATATATATATATATATTACTATATTCTATGTACTAAATACTGACTGAAATATAGATCTATATATCTATAATATAAGAAAATACGCAATCTAAAATAAATGTATTTAGTTACAACAGTTTGCCAGAGTAAGTGTATAGTTTCTTTTCGTTATCTCTAATCCTTACATTTTTATCACATTTTTTATTTTTCAAATTTTTAAGAAAATGTAATAATTTTTCAAATGTTTTTATTTTAAAAAGGTTTCTTTCTTTCTTTCTTTCTTTCTTTCTTTCTTTCTTTCTTTCTTTCTTTCTTTCTTTCTTTCTTTCTTTCTTTCTTTCTTTCTTTCTTTCTTTCTTTCTTTCTTTCTTTCTTTCTTTCTTTCTTTCTTTCTTTCTTTCTTTCATGCCAGTTATAAAACTAATACTTGTTCGTTCAAAGACCAATAAATACCAAACTGCATATCTAATAAACAACTTCAAACATTGATACAGACATTGAATTTTTTTAAAGGTTCATATTCTGTGCAAAACAGCAGCAGCGCTAAAGTTTTTGGGTTTCACATGAATGCTTAAACGACTCCAATAATTTTAATAAAACAAATACATCAAAGTAACAGTAGCACAATAGAAATGCAGTTCTTGTTTACTGTTCTTTGTCTAAATAAACTTTTAATGCAAGTACTTGTAATCTGCCGTTTGATATGATTGATGGCAACAATCTGTACTCTGGATTATCTGTGCAGGTATTATTTAGGTAAACTCGTTTTACCCTCTGGCGGATGAAAGTTGTTACTACAGGCAGTATTTCCTGTAAATTCCTTCAAAATAAGGCTAAGGGGTTTAAATCAGTGTTGACAGGATAAGTGTAAAAATGGGAAAGCCAGAAGACCTTCACGCATGGACGTCATTTTCGCTTTAGAAGTGGGTGGGTGGGGTGAGGGGTGGGGTGGGGGTGTGTGAATCAGTATGCTCTAATGGGAAACGAGCTTCAACACAAGTGGTTATTTTTCGCTTGGTCCTAGAGCTCAACCAGTGTCAATTTAATATAGCGTAATAATGTTTTTGGATCTTAAAAAGTGCAGGGGTCAAATCTTGACTTTGGAAAAAAAAGGGGGGGGGGCATGTCCCCCCTGTCCCCCCCAAAATTACATCCATGCCTTCACGTATACAAACTACTAAAACTCAACAAATCTATTGACCTTATCTGTGTTCAACGGGATTATGTCAACGAGCTAAGCAGCTAGTTACCATCGACGTGTAAAAATACAACACTATAAACATATCTGGTGGCCACAGGGCGAAACTAAATCCAAGCTAGACTCTGGGATTTAAAATTAAATTAATATAAAATACGTATTTCTTTGTTACACAATGTAATCATTAACATCTGTAGGCTGTCTAATAAACACTAATTCATTAACAAATTGGACTTTTTTTTAAAAGTACGCACTTTGTTTTGAACAGAAAAAAACACCAATGTATCTGGATTTAACAATCAATGTATACGCTACTAAATAAAATAAATTAAACACCAAATACAATGAGAATAACCAGCAACAGATTAGCAATTCACTTCTTTTTTACTGTTTGTTCTTTGTCTAAAAATATTAATTAAATTACTTGTAATCTTTTAGTTTTACTTGATTAATGGCTAAATATTCTGTCTATGGGATTCACAGTGTACGTGCTGTTTTTCACCTGGAATGGAAACAGGAAACTGAGATTTTGAGAGTGGATTCCTTCAAAATAAAACATGCCACTTAAAGAGCAAGTCACCCCCTATCAGAGTCTAACTCCACTCCCACTTCATGTTTGAAAAATGCAACAAATGCTGTTGCCTGGCAGACCGAGAGGGCGGAGCTGCTAACAAATACACACACACACACAGGCTCACAACAGCACTGTGACATCATTATGTACCAGTTTACATCATAGCATACCTCTTAGCCAATAGCGGTGGCAGATTTAAATTCAAATACAGTGCAGAGTTTTTACCTGACAACGGCAGAACACTGCCAGTTTTAGGCAGAATATTTAAATTTTAAAGAGCAAGTCACCCCCAAATGACATTTTTTTTTGCAGATAAACTATATAAATGTGTGTCTAATCGTGCTACAGACACGTGTAGTCAATAATTTGGCAGTTCAGTGCATCTTGGTTAAAATTCAACAGCGGCCGCGCGCAGGACGCAGCTGGAGGATTTGAGCCGTTGCCGCTGCGTCCTCTCTGCTCATAGAATGCCCGCAAAGCTGAGTCCATAAATGACGTCATATATGTGGATACTGGATCTTTTTTCAGGCTTCCCGCAATTTGAGTTTTTAAGAAACCCACATCTTGATTCTGGGTTTGTAATTACTGCCTTACTGACAATTGTACCGAGTAAATATTACCGTTTTCTTTCCCTGTAATGCCTTACATTACCACATTACAGCAAAAAGCAATGCATTACAGTAATTAATTACTTTTGTACCACGTTACTCGCACGTAACTTATGCTGTAACTTCACCTTGCCCTGCCTGCTCCTTGCTGCCCGCCGGCTGTGATCACAAGCGACAACATAGTAGTTCCCGCTGCTTCCTTGGGAAACAGCGCAAAAAAATAAAAAAACTTGATCTTGTAGGCGTGGCGGTGGGATTTCAGCCGTGGCGGCCCGCCACGGCTACGCCTATGTAAGGGAAACCCTGCTGTAAATAATAGATCTTGCTGTGTACAATCAAGGCTGAATATATTTGTAGCTGTTTTTTGTTGTTGAGAAAAATGGGTTTCTAGAGACTTATATACGTATTCAGGCAAAGTTATCCAACTTTAAAATTTTATGTAACCCTAACTGACTCCGGTTTGAACTGTGTGCTTATTCATTTTGTGTCTGTGACGAAGCCACGGAGACTTAATTAAGAAGTCACCTTGTGAGAAGTGAATCCTTAATTTTTGTCAGTCATACAGAAATACTTGATTTCAAGAGGAAGGACAGCTGAAACTGTAGTTTTGTAAAGCTTTGACACAACAAGGAAATTTAATTAGATATCCAAAATTGAATTTTATCATCAAATAAAATCTTAGAATAAATAAACACATTTTAAGGGAGTAATAAGGAAAAGGAGATTAACACCTTTCAGCATTTCCTGCTTTTTCCAGCAGTGATATTGCTAATTCTGTTGAAGGAAATTCACTGTTTAATGAGACAGCTGGTGAAAATGATATGCAAATAAGTAAGAATGCATGTAGACCTACGTAATTAAGCAAAACTGAAACACTAATATAAAGTATATATATTATATATTTTTTCTCCCTTCGAATCTGGGAGGGTGGAACCCCAGCTCCAGCTATGGACGAGCCCCCAGGGGGCCCAACTTGATATTTTTTTCACGGGGCACAAAATCTCTGGCAGCCCCCCTGCTGCTATTAACTGGGAACCGATGACATCTGGTCAAAAACACGAAGCTCAAACAGAATATTTCTATCAGGATTTATTTCATTAATTAAATACATTTTGAAAAGGCAGATTTAAAAAACACACCGTTCATAAATAGAGAAATAAATATTTGAAACAATAGAGAAGGATCCCCACACACTCAGGTGCCAGCTTGGGGTTGGATTTAACAACACACCTGAATCTCTGTACTTGGTACATACAGCATGTAAATCATGCACACGTCTTCCCAGCAGACGGCGGTAGTGCTTTCCTCAGACCCACCGACTCCTCCGCCTGGTTTTAAATCTGCCGCTGGATGGTGAAGGTCCGGTAGCGAGCGGCGCCCTCCTGGCACATGTCCACCGGTTCGTTGTCCTGGGTGGACGTGCTGATGTACCAGTTGGGGAAGGAGGCAGACATGAGTGTGCTGACGTTCAGGCCCGTGTCCTGTTTGTAGAAGAGGAACCGCTTCATCTCACTCTCAGCGCCGATCGGTGAGAGGGTTCTTTTGTCCTCCACTGCCTGGAGAACGAACAAAAGATCAGTGTCGGCAAGGTTCTTCTCGCCGTTTCAGCCAAGGTGTGCTCAGCTGTGACCGGTGTGAGAGGTTTACCTCCAGATGCAGCGTTGGCTTGTCTCCTTTTTTGTGGCAGGACAGGTATAGATTTGTGTCTTTGATGCCCAGAGCGACAGGCTTGGCGTCGGAGCTGCTGGTGAGCACGTAGGTGGACATGTTCAGGAAAACTGAGGAGAGAGCGGAGGACGCGGGTTAACAAAGGCAAAGTCTTCGTGTTTTTGTTCGTCTACCTCTTATGAGACGTTATTCCCCCCCCTGCCAGGTCGATTCCTCAGCAGTTACCTTTGCGGGAGTCGTTGCCGCCCTGCAGTAGCACTGCATGGAGCTCCATGCTGTTCTCCACCAGAACCAAGCTTCGTTTCTTGCTGTCGGACACAGAACAGACGCCCTGACCCGTGTAGCTGAACTGAGGTGGAGCTGACCTCCTCTCAAAAATGTTTTTCTCTAAAAGAAGAAGAAGAACACATTAGGTGAGCAACGCCATTCTTTTCAGCTTTAGTCTGACCTCATGGGCAAGGAGAGTGTTTAGTCTCCTGTACCTTCTACGATGCTCTCCAACACCACGCTGAGCAGGTTCTCATCCCTGAAGTCGGTGCTCAGCACGTCTTCCGAGGTTCCAGCCTTCAGCCTCTCGATGGCGATGATCAGGTTGGCGACGTGCCTCATCGAATGTGGCTGATGGGAGATCTCCAGGCCCAGACCTTGGGGCATCTTCTTGGACCAAATGCTGCTCATGTTGCAAATCTCTGCTGCCATTTTTTCTACAGATCTGCAGAAATAAGGGAAGCGGTTGGTTTAATAACACCGTAAAACAGTTTGTGATGTTCCATAAAGCTGCTGAGAATCCGTTTACCTGCTGAAGAGACGGGGAGCTGTTCTAGTCTGTGTGTTTGGTGATCAGCTGCTCAGGTGTTCTGGCTGCCGGAGCCGCCCGGCAGGGCTTTTATGGTCCTCAGACAGGAAGTGGGACAACCTGCGATGATGAAACCTTGTACTTGCACGCTCGCCGGGTGGTTGTGTAACTGACTCAGGAAATAAAACCAGTTCAGGCATGTAACGTCACACCGTAGCGTGCAAATGCAGTGGCTCAGCGCTGGCGTTATTTACATAGTTTTCTAAATAAACAAACAAATAAATAATAAAGAGCGTTGTGGGCTAAACACCTCATAAAAGGCTCATGATTTAAACTAATGTTGCCTCCAGAAAGACGTACTCGTGTTTTCCCCACAAGAATGTTTTAATTAGTCCATAAAAAACTGAATGATTCTCCGTCTGTGACCCGACGTTTTTCCAAAAGGGTTTAAAGCAGCAGTTCTCTGTCTGTGTTTAGGGAGTTTCTCCACGAGTAAATAATGTTTTGTCTTCAGTTCCTACAAAATTCTCCAATGAAACATTTTCATCATTAAGGCTTTAACTATTTCAGTGTTTTATCATCATCATCATCATCATCAAGTAGAAAGACTCAGAGGTCTCATCTGAGAAACTCATTCATGCGTTCAATTCAATTCAATTCAGTTCAATTCAGTTCAATTCAGTTCAGCCCTGCGATGGACTGGCTCTCTGTCCAGGGTGTACCCCGCCTGATTGCCCATTGCCCGCAGGAGATTGGCACCAGCCCCCCCCCCCCCCCCCCCCCGCGCAACTCTGTGTGGACAAGCGGGTTCAGAAAATGGATGGATGGATCAATTCAATTCAATTCAAAGATACTTTATTAATCCCAGAGGGAAATTAGAGTTTCAGTACACACAATTCAGAGATCAGACATACATAGGCAAAGACACATGACAAGAATTGGTGACTGTGGTCATTTGCAACCCGAGTCGCGCTACCTTAATAGAGATCAGAGGGTTACATGAGGATTGGTTCAGGTGGAGGGAAAAAAGGCACTTCAGAGTTACCCTCCACAGGGAGGGCAGCTTTGCTATGCAAAAAAACACCTCACAGATGTGCAACAGACTTCAGACAACACACAACATAAGTGTCCACTAGGTGGGGTGGTGGGGTTGGGGACTCTCCACACATCAGTGCATGCAGCCGCGATGAGCAGCGCTTGTCATCTCAGTCTGGACGGGGGGGAGGTAGTTGGGGTTAGAGAGCACAGTGACTCCTGGAAACGATTCAGTGGCCTTCACGGCCTGCAGTCCGGCCCAGGCTGGGATAGGGAGACAGAGTTACCATAGCGACGGCAGCTTCGTCTTCGTCTTCGTCTTCGTCTTCCTCCGCTTATCCGGGTCCGGGTCGCGGGGGCAGCATCCCAATTAGGGAGCTCCAGGCCGTCCTCTCCCCGGCCTTGTCCACCAGCTCCTCCGGCAGGACCCCAAGGCGTTCCCGGACCAGATTGGAGATGTAACCTCTCCAACGTGTCCTGGGTCGACCCGGGGGCCTTCTGCCGGCAGGACATGCCCGAAACACCTCCCCGGGGAGGCGTCCAGGAGGCATCCTGACCAGATGCCCAAACCACCTCAACTGCGGAGGAGCTCACTCCACCAAGGACAACGTTCAGTTGCTGTGCTGAAAGTTAGGGATCTTTAGCATCCAGTCCAAATAAGAATCAGTCTGCACTGGTTACCAGTAAACCACAGAATCATTTCTAAGCACTTTACTGGTTTATGCATCACTCAGTGGCATGGGGCCAAAATACTTGTTGGATCTCCTTCCTGTATATCCACCCAGCAGGGCTCTGGGATCCTTAGGAAACAGTAAGCTGGTAGAACCCGGGTCAGAACCAAACTGCTGCTTGTAACTACAATGGACTCAGTGGTCTCCTTTAAAAAGCAGCTGAAGACTCACCTGTTCAGGCTTTGGTGTGACCTTCATCACCCTCTCTTTATTCTGCTCTCCCCTATTCCACCTTCCTCAGGATCCACTGATTTCCCTCTTTCCTTCTCTCTCTCTCTCTCTCTCTCTCTCTCTCTCTCTCTCTCTCTCTCTCTCTTTCTTGACATTTTTAATCACAAGTGTTTATTTTTTGCTCATTTTAAATATATTTTTAATCATTTTCTAAATTCTTTTTTACATTTTTTTGTTTTTGTGAAGCGCCTCGCGATCTTTATCTTGAGAGGCGCTATAGAAAAGATCTTTTCTTCTTCTTCTTCTAGGCTGCTCACGGATGGAATCAGCTTCCCCGTGACCTCATATGTGCCCCCACTCTGGCAACTTTTAAATCAAAGTGGAAAACTTTCACGTATTCATCATGATTTCATCATAAATGTGAATTGGGTTTATTTACGCGTTGACTTTGATGCCCATGCTCCTCTCGCTGATGGACAGCACATTGAACTGCCTCGGCGTATTTAATGGGATGTGTAGATGGAGCGCCGTGCTGTTACAGAAGAATTCAAATGGAATTACAGTGGTTGTTATCAGTGACCCCACGACTTTACGGGAACGGTTCTGTCACATCTTTTCTTTACTTAAGCGTGTAACATTAACCAGGATGGAGAGGAAGCATTCCCGAGCGAACACTCCAGGAACTCGTCTCAGAGCCACTCCTGTGTCTACTACGCAGGTGAAGTGTAAACCGTGTTTTCTGTCTGGAGGCTGGTTTCAGTCCAGATTTACTGCTTTTGTTATCTTCATCAGCTCTTCTCTTCCGTCCTGGAGCTCTCCCTGGAGAGGGAGACATTCCCGGGCACACTGGTGCTTCCCCTGACTGTGGCTGGATTTTACTCTCACGCTCCTGACACGCCTCGGTCTTATCTCCGCTGCATCAGTGTTATTCTCTCCATCTGTTTCATCTGAGTCATGTTTTATTGCATCTTAGCATAAGATGAAACTACTGGAGCATGATTTATGAGTTTATGTTTGTGTAACTCAGATTTTCTGGTTTAAAGTCTGGAGCTTGAATATAAAAATGTAAAAGTTTCTCTCCTTTCTTCTGATTTTGACACAGTTGAAACTGTTTCACATTCAGTTCCTTCAGCAGACATTTCTGGTTTCCACAGATCGGTTTTGACACATTTATGTCTGACAGCTCCGCAGCTCCTAGCTTTGTGTTTGCTGCTGTTCGTAATCTAACTGACGCTTAACCTCACTCATGGTGAGTCGAGGTCGAAGCCTAAAAGTTCCAGATTTCTCCTGATCTGAGAACAGTCATCAGAGGAAATGTCAGATTTTCTCTGCTGGTCTTTCCTAACCTTCTCACGTCTTTAGGTGACTCTTTGGGGTTTTGAGGTTCTTTTGATGTGGAAAACAAAAAAATTGCGCCACTTAGAAAGTTACAAAAGCGGGTTGCTCACGGCCCTGAATGACATCATCATGCCTGCAGGGCCGACTCTCAGATTAGACCGTCCGGCTGCTGCAGGCATGGTTCTGCTTTGTACAGAAGACAGTAATCTCAGTCAGCTCGGCCCAGGCATCCACGTGCACCCCCCCCCCCCCCCCCCACACACACACACACCCCCACACACACCCACACACATCTGCTTCCTATCTGAGTCCAGACAAAGGCTCGTAGCAGCCTGTCCGTCACAGGTAACTTCATTCATTCCGGTTTAAACCACAAAACTCCTTTACATTCAGCTTTATGATAAATATGTCATTTTTATTTATTTATTTTATTCACTTCAGACCATTCAAGCAAATTAAAATCAAATACAAAGCAAACATTTCTCATGTAGAGGATTTAGAGATTCCTCTTTAGTCCTTAAAGAGTAAGTCACCCCCCTACTGGAGTCTAACTCCACTCCCGCTTCCTGTTTCGGTAAACTTTTAATATAAGTTTCTACCAGGTGTTTTTATAGTTGATAATTCGTGATGTTAACCTTTTAGAGGGATCTGTTTGCTTGTGTTTTTACCTTTTTGTACAAATAAACCCATTTTAAACTCCTCCGCCAGTTTTTATGTTATCCCCATCCTTCACATTTTACCATCTCATGTCGGGGACGTAACACCAGTTTAAACCACAAAACTCCTTTACATTCAGCTTTATGATAAATATGTCATTTTTAAAATTTATTTTATTCACTTCAGACCATTCAAGCAAATTAAAATCAAATACAAAGCATACATTTCTTATTTAGAGGATTTAGAGATTCCTCTTTGGTCCTTAAAGAGTAAGTCACCCCCTACTGGAGTCTAACTCCACTCCCGCTTCCTGTTTGAAAAATGCACCACAATGAGGTGTTGCCTGGCAGACTGAGAGGGCGGAGCCAATACCAAATGAACACACAGGCTCATAGCAACATTGTGACATCATATGGTACCTGCTAACATCATAGGATACATTTTAGCCAATAAAAAAATGGCAGATTTAAATTAAAATGTAGTGTAGAGTTTTTAACTGAAGAGGGCGCAACACTGACAGTTTTAAGCAAAATATTACAATTTGAACAAAGATGCACTAACGTGCCAACTTATTAACTACATGTATCTACAGCACGATTAGACTCTCTTTTATATAGTTTACCAGCAAAAAAAGTTGATTTGGGGGTGACTAGCTCTTTAAAGGGGAACTGGGAGAAGCTCGAGGCTTTTCATTGCCCTATCCCTCAACATCTTCCAAAATCCAAATAAACATCTCTAAACATACATCATAAACAAAATCAATAAGCAAAACTTTAATTTTCACATCAGCAAGAAATCATATAAACACTTTACTTTTACATCTTAAATAAAATCCAAAATCAAATTTAGATCTTATTGACTTTAATTGCTTTGCCAAGTTCTTAATGTCTATCATAATTCATTAGCACATTAGTCATTTCCCAAAAGTTTTCTTCTATATAATATTTTGAATTGTACAACAGTTTAACACTATTTATGTTTTCCTCTAAGCTGTTCCACCAAACCACTCCTCGGACTGAAACGGTCATACTTTTTCGTGTGTTACGTACACATTATTGGCAATTACTGTTATTATTTTAGCGTTACTTGCTCTTCGGATCCTTGAATAGATGCTTTGGTGAAATGAGGATTTTTATTTTGGATGCAGAACATTTTTGGGAGTTTGGATCCAGGCAGGAAATTCTTTCTTTCTTTTGTGTGTGTGTGTGTGTGTGTGTGTGTGTGTGTGTGTGTGTGTGTGTGTGAGATTGAATCTCATCTGGTTCTGCATCAGCTGCTGTAAATATCCTAAGAAGCTGCGGTTTATCCGCAGACGGGTAATAAACCTTTTTAC